ATTTTAACAATTTAGACTGTATGAAAGCTCCATTGGTGTGATCCCTGTACCCCATCTTATGCACAATTCTTATTATTGTTACGCTCCTTTGAAACACAGCTTTTCTGTCCTGCTACCACAGCAATCCCCAAGGACAACTGACAGCAGTCTACATCTGATATGTGCATTTCTCATTGTCCTAATGAGTAGATTTCTCTCTGTGATGCATGGAGGAGGAGATAGACTCAAGCTCATGGGTTAATATTCTCAGTCCTCTTCCCCCACCTGCACTCCTTCATGTTCACTGCAGAGACAATTGGTGCTCCTTACCTGATTTTGTCTTATTTCGAAAGAAAGTGGAAGCACCAGATGTAGGCTGCAGGTATAGCACGAGATGGTACATATAATACTGAAGTGTAGATGTTTGTGGTAGCTTATTTTCTACACAAAGGATGCCAGTAATCAGTGTCAGTAAAAAATATGTTTTTAAGTAAAATTAGCAATACCACAGAAATACAAGTAATATTCAAAATTATACTTGAGTACAAGGCCAAAATATACAGATGGTATGATAAAAGGTACTCATACAGAATGGCCCATTTATATTATATTACTGGGTTCTAATTATTGTTGCACTAATACAGTATGTACAGTACATCACTTATGGAAAAGAATTAATTTCAGCAAATCTATATACTGACAGGGACACATACAGATAGGTTAATTTATAATAACAGACAATGTATTTATTAGTTATATTTGGTGTAATAACCTGAATCTGTAAAGTTATGTGTAACTACATCTTTTCAATAAATGCAGCAGAGTAAAAGTTCATGTAAATGTAATGGAGGAGAACTATAAAGTAGCATAATATGAAATTACTCAAGTTAAGTATAAGTATGTCATAGTTCTACACCAGTGTACCGTAATATTTTCTACCACAGCCAATGGAATTTATTTCATCATTAAAATGTTTCAGTTTTGCTCCACTAGCTGTAAAATATTTACTGCTTGTTCTCAGAGACTACAGAATAGATTCACAACTCAATGTCAGCTGATGTAAAGCCTGCAGACAAACCTTTGGGGGTTAAGCACATTTAAAAAAAAAGAAGGAAGTTCACTAAGCCATTTCACATTCTTCCAGTTCATTCATAAATCCTGTTGCTTTTGGAGTATTTCTGTGTGGCTCAAATCCTGAGGTGTTTTGTGTGTGTGTGACAGAGAGGGAGTGTTTGTGTGTTTCTATGTTGGGTCTACATGTGTGGGTGCAAATACACAAACAGCACTTGCCCAAAGATGCATGTGTAAATGTAGTTTAACCCGTGCACACATGAGTGAGATAGAGAGAGGATGAATTCATACATGCTTGCAATTCAATATCCTGTGAGTGGGTGGCCTCCTCCATTGGCCACCTACTTTAAAGCCTTTCCTGATGTGGAAGACAGTAGCAGTTGATTTGATCTGTCTGTGCATGTGTGCTTCTGTGTGCCAGCGTCTGTGTAGGCAGTAACACGATCTAATTCTACCAATGAGGGTTGATGCATGATGTTTAGGAGAGATAGTACAGCGAGGAGGCTTGATGTGCAATTGTGTGAAAACTTGTTGTCTGTCCTGACAGTCTGGCTAACTGATAACAGGGTTCTGCCAGCACAGACAAACCCAGCCTGTCAGGTTGCAAAGTTATTAAAGTGGTGTCTAAGATGTACCCTGTTTGTGGCAACACACCAGTGTGCACTCCCTGTGGTGCTGAGTGCAAGTAGCCTGCTTATACACTGCAGATGAAACATACTGTAAACACACTGATAAGTTATTTTCGAATTTGAAAAATTCCTTACAAATCGAATTTGTATGGCTCGCTGCCGAATAATCCTACCATTCCTGGACCAAATTCTTTTACTAAACACAATATTTAATGTTTTTGCTGAAAGTGGGGGCAGCATGTTATAGAGGTTTACTCTGTATTTCACAGACACCTTAGAAAAACGTATCAAAGGGGAGACAGAAACAAAACAACAGAGGAGGTTTATTGCAAGCTCGATTCAGAGCTTTGCAGAGAAACATGCTGTAAACCTAAATGTTGTTGTGGACTGAATGATAGCTGGTGCTCCACATTCCTAAAAAAAATCGTGGGTAATTTAAGCAGCACATATTGACCCTGTTACACAATGTTTGTATGTCATGGTGCCTCTGCTTCTCTCCCTTGTACAAAAATATCTACACTGAGGCTAGAATTTCAGCCTTGCATAAGAGCTACTCCCCTCTCCTTTAAAATGACTGGGTATTGAATATCACTGAAGATCTTTTTGCTTTTAGTGTTTTTCAGAGAATCACTATTGAATTCCCCTAATGTGCCTCTCTGTAGTCAATCTTATGCAACAGGAGTATAATTATCTAACATGTCTCCTAGAAAAAATGCCACAGGACAATGAAAAAGTGATTGGCTACTGCTGTCCACTGAGAATTATAACACTGTACCTGATTTAAATTCGATGAAATAAATAAAAGTGTGACTGTGTTAAAGTATTCCACCATTAAATGTTGTGCAAAGAATAACTCAGTGATATTTGTGCTCTCTATGTGTGGTAGTTCATTTTAATTCTCAAACATTCCTACAGTGTGCACAGCTGTAAGATGATTAAATGTCCAAGAAGCTGGACCCTCTGATTTGATCTTTTTTCCCAGTGGTTGCAACTTACACACAGCTACAAAAGCACAGCAACCACACAATCCTTTGGTAACCTTGTTGGTCAGCACAGCAGCTTTATTTTAAACCACTTGCTCCCCACTGACCTGAAATAAATTCAAACT